ACTGCAGGTGCGAAGGCGCAGAAAACAAGGTCAATTGCCAATGCTTACAACCACAAATCCAAGAAGAGTTCGACAAAATACAACGCAAACTGCCGCTGAAAACTCCATTTTGGGAACTGTCACTTCGGAAAAACCAACTCACTGCGCACATTCCGCATATGGTTTCCACAGAGTTCACAGCAAATTTTGAGAAAACTTTCGAAACAGCACTAGTGGAGATTGACAACAATATTTGCATTGTTAGTGACTCTCACCTCAGCGGATGCTATAACTGCGCAAAAGGTGCAGAAGCGCGCATAGACTGCAAATCAGAAGCAACAACAATAGGAGAAGTCCTTTGCCAGGGAGACGCATTCGTGATACCATGCGCCCCCTCGTCACCGCATTCAACGTTGCGCTTTCATTTCAGCAGCGCTAGACAAAATCTGAACTGCACCATAAAATGCGGCACAAAATCGCAAACATTTACGATTTCAGGCATTCTGAAATACGTAGGACCGCTACATCACGTTGCGCTAACTAAACTGAAAGGAAATAGCGCAATATATAATGAAATAGCATGGCCTGATTTCGCACATATCGCAGAACTTTTATTTAGTTGGTACAAAACCGTCGTCGTAGCGCTCTTAGCAGTCGCGGGCGCTCTTCTAGCTACGTATCTTTGTCTGCAGACATCGGGTTGGAAAATACTCGGTTCCGTGCTAAAAATGGTTTTTGCGCTCACATTGCTTCCATTACGATTAGGATGCTACGCTCTGCGCATGATTGGTAAACAAAAGGCCAGAACGGAAGAAAAACGGAACATCACATCAAAAATCTCTAACAGATAAAAGCGCCACAATTATATGTAGCAACTGTACATATAACTGAACTTTAGAAAAAACAAAAAAAATTGAAAAATAAGAAAACCAAAAAAAAATGTTAGGAAAAATATAATTTTCAGACCAAATGAAGAGACTCGAACAAATACAAAGTGAAGTCCGCACGATACATTGCGCTCTCCAGCACCAGCAAGAGACCATAGACTACCTCTCAAAGATCCTCGAAGCAGTGCGCGACGAAATTGAAGAGGAAGAAACAGTTGCGCAGAACGAGGCGCGCAAGCTACGAAAAGCAATAAACAACTTGACAACCGCGATCGAAGCAGCGCTGAAGAATCTAAGCTTGGATGTACAGTCAAACGCCGAACTCCTCAGCGAAGAGGGGGAGGGCGCAGACGCTGCAGCTGTCAAGGAGGAAACTCACCCGGAAGACATCGGAGTGGAATCGATGGAAAAAGGAGATGACGACGCGCACATGGGTCAGCGTGAAGCCGAAACCATTCGGAACAATCAGAAATATGTCGAAGAACTTGTGATAGAGATGGAGGAGGCAGCGCCGTTCGAAGAACCGCAAGTAGAGGAAGTCCAAATGGAAGAACCGAAAATGGGAGAAAATGAAGCGCACGCCGACGAACCTCCAAGGAATGAGGAAGCGATGGAAAGACCTCAAGAAGCCCGCTTGCGCAATGAGGATTTGTTGTCAGCGCTACAAGTGGAGAAGAAGCAAACCGTGCAGGCGATACACGACTTGAACCTGTTGATCGACGCCCTGGAAAACGAAAAAACTTGCGGGCCGCGTAGATACCACAACGGCGAGATTCGTAAGGACACGGAAAGGAACATGTCATGCGCATTCTGTAGCGCTGTCGGATGTCATTATTCCGACTCTTGCCCGGAGGTACCGACGGGCAGGGAAAGACGAGAACTTCTCGAAGCGAGCAACAGATGCGAAACCTGTCTCGAATACTGCGCTGGGGGAAATCTTTGTCGAAAATTTTACACCAAGTGTTTCCATTGCCGCGAGACAGGGCATCATTCCGCCCTATGCGAGCTACCCGACAAAAGTCAGGAGATTTTCGATCGAATTGAAGAAGCAGAGCGATCGAAGCAAGGAAACTTCCAGGGCCTCAAGCAAATCGACATGGAAATTCAGGAGCACCGCCAGGACCCATCTCACTAGCCCCGGGGGAGTATCGCCGCGATCGGATACGGTATCGCTATCGCCGCGATCGGATACGGTATCATCGAATGATATGTTTTGAGACTTTGAACTTTTTATTGTAATGTTTCTGTTATGTTTACAGCTTGTGCGGCAGTCCTTGAGATGCAAGCGGCAGCGGCCGCTCGTGTTCAATCAGTCGTTTTTCTCCTCTTTTGTCGACATTGTTTTCAAGTTATGCCTCTCATCTGCTGTCCATTTGGAATGCGCGCCAAAAGGAACTCTAAAGACAATTTTCTGCTCAACGCACCTTTCAACAGTTTTCTTGTGGTCAATTGCGCTGAAAAATGCCTATGCACTTCCTTGCAAACTCACTTCCTATTTTTGGTTGCTTAACAAGAAAGTGCGCTTGTATCATTCAATTGCGTCATATTTTGGTATTTTCTGTGCCTAATTGCCATATCACATTGCTTTATCTTTGTCATACATTTATTCGTATTTGTTGCATTCAAGTATTTTGTATGAGGGTTTAATTACCCAAGTTTGAGGTAAACGTTGCGCAAAGTGGTGTTGGGTGTGTTCTTCCTGGTTGTCAGTGTAACAATACCGCGTGGCATTTGCGAGCACAAACCGATTCAGTCTGTGCTGTTTATCCTACATATTGCTGTTTACATGTCAAGCACGTAATCATGTAAACTACATTCCTAGAGTCACAACTGGCTAGTTCTGGTTTACTTGTTTTGAAGAAATAATTTGTTGTTGAACTTTTAGCTTTGTTGTCAAAATTAATTTTATCGCATATGTTGCAAGTTCTTCTTGCACATCTTACTCCTGTATAGGAAGTATATGTAGGTGTGTTTACTACTTTTTATTGGTGGTTCGTTCTGTTTTCTTGAGACGCAGACAACATTAAACATGTATTGTTACTTGTTTCGTTGTTGGTGGACCTGAATCCATTGAGTAGGAGGCGGTCCTTTCTGGACTCTTATGCGGTTTCCTTATCAGAGGATATTTCCTCCTCGGCTAGGGCAAGCCTCTTCATCGCAGGGGAGCGCTACCCCCTAAAACTTACTGGCCACAGGGTGTGCGCATCAGCGCCAAGCATGCTTAGTTTACTGGGAAAGCATAGAATGATCGCACATAACGGTGTTGTTTACGATATCGTGCAAAATCAAGGCTCACGAACACCAAATTTCCACATGAAATGCCTTAAAAGGCTCCTACATTCATGCCTGCGAACTTAAGTTAAATAGCAAGTGCGCGGTCGTCTTCCAGCAGCCAGTCTAGATGCAAAAATATAAGAACTTATTTACAATGAGTGACTTGATTTCACATCTGTCGTACTAAAAGGCAGCAACTCGCCAAAACCGAATAACCCGAAATTTTGCCATGGAAGTTTGCGTTCACCCTAAACATGAGAACAGAGCGGATCCGAGCGCATAGCATGCTGCCCTTGCTTAAACTGCCCCTATCGTTACGCTTAAGCCATTCTAATACGCGAGAACGAGTTTGCGATTCTCCCTGACACGAAAGAAGGCATGCCGCAATGTTATAGCTGCGAGGGTCCCGCAACGATTCTGCCTCTCTAATGGCGGGACGGGTTCCACTCGTCCAAATTCAAAATTGGAGGCCTTGGGAAATGGTGGTTTTTGCCATTTTCGCGCTCTTCAAGGTGGATTTTCGGAACCAGCGCTTTGAATTACTCCAGGTAAGACTTCAAGTCGAGAATCTGCCGAGCCGCTGCCTTTAAGTTATGAGATTGTGTGTCCTACAGCCCCATAGTAGTATGGGTGCTCAATTGACATCGCACTCGACCAAGCACACCTGGAGCCGCTGTAAGAACAACGGTGAACTTTTGCCTTCAATCTCCCTGCTTACACTCAAGACGAAGCGAATGGCAAGTGGTGGAGCTACTTGGCGGCAGAGACCATACGTCATGTTATTAACGCTTTTTCAGCCTTTGAAAACAGCGTCTTGTCCCAGAGTTAGGATAAATAATTGGCTGACCCACGCAAGTTCACTGTAAAGGGTTTGCAGACATTCGCTAGCCTCTGCGACTGAGTAGAGTGTTCGGTGTAGAGTGCGTTGGCGCACGCCTGCAGAGGGCATTGAAGACACCGAATATTTATTTTCTTATATATCATTAAAAGTTACTTTTGATAGAATTTATTAGTTGTAGCACAAAGCCGGGTGTGGCCACTACATTTTTTGGAAGTTGTGCCACACTCCATTAACTCACTTTTAGCATCAAACTTATGTTTTCAAATCATAGCTACACTTTCTTCTCTTCACAATTAAATTTTCGTTTGAAATCCTTCCTTTATGAGAAGATATAACGGTGTTTCACGTTTTCTAAAATCTTGGGTTACGGTGGTATGCTTTGCGCTTTTGCACACATCTTGTGGAAAGGCGGCAGAAATATACATGTTGATAGCCGTAGTTCCCATAGTTCTCACAAGAATGATACGAGCCTGATTCGTCTACTTATCCTCGGTAGTAGTTGCAATAGTTGCTGAAAGCACCACCATTTCAAGAAATGGAGAAAACACCCTGGTTGGCTTTTTTTCGAACAAAGTTTGGGAGTCATCAGAGTCCTTGAATGCCACCGTCTCGGTCTTGAAAGTCTCAGAATCCCCAAAAATTTGGTCCACAGAGTTTTTTCGATATGCTTATTATGAAAATGATACTCATTATGCGTGGTAAGCTTCATTATCATGCTTACCACACCATGCTATGATAGGTCAATATCTCAATATCTTGTGCTTGTGCTTTCATAATAGGCTACTTCGACATGTGTTTAAGTGTCACTCCACGTTTGACCCTGGTTGTCTGGTCCTCGACCTTTGGCGTGAAACAACTCACCAGGGAATACACTTTGATCGAAGTGGCTCTATGGCAAGTGATGCATATGGGTAGACAGCTTTTTGAACGCTGATCTCAAAACTGCTTTCTCTATCTGCGGAGCGCTTCTGTAAAAGGAGTTATGAGCCTTGTTTTCGCCAAAAAAGGCCTTCCCTTCATTAAGGCGCGGCACGGCGTATACGTTGTGGCGGCGTGGTGTAGTGGTGAAGACTGCGGTTTGCTGGTGAATCAACAGGGTTCGAGTCCTGTTGTCGCCCAGCAGTTTTGCATTTTTTCTAAAATTATCGCGTACCTTTGAAAATGCCACACCTGGACAGTTTATCATAATCTCGCTACAAGTGATCAGGTCTTGAATGTGGGCAACTGTGGAACACTTCTTTACACTTCTACAGATAAGAGGCTTTCTTAGAAATGCTCAAAAAGGCATAAAAGTGCAATAACCAATCTCTCGCCGATTTAATAAGGGTTAAGAATAAGCGCGTTTTGGATTACCAACGCACAAGTATTTAGAATACTATAAGTAAAGCCGTCCATATGTGGCATTTTCAAAAAAAGCAATAATTTTAGAAAAATGCAAAACCGCTGGGTGACAACGGGACTCGAACTCTGCTCACCTGTAAACCGCATGCACTGCGCCCCCCCCCCGAGAACGGGTCGCAAAATTTTTTAAAGTTACTTACATGAGTTATAATTTTGTGCAAATGACGTGTTTATACTTGTAAATAATTAAAATATTTTTTAAAAAATTTTTAAAAATTCATTTTTTATAAAAAAATTTTCCCGAGGGCGTGGCTGACGCCACGCCTTCTTTTTCCAGATTTTAGGGGTGGGGACCTGTAAAAATTTTTAGAAGCACCCCCAAAATTTTTTCGGAGTGCGTGGCTGACGCCACGCACCTTCATTTGAAAAAAATTTTGTCGCCCCCCCCCGGGCCGAAATCCTGGGTACGCCACTACTACACAACGCTGCCACGATGCCTTTTCGCGCCTTGATAAAGGGAGGGTCGCTTTTGGGGAGAACAAAGGCTCATAACTCCTTTTACAGAAACGCTGCCACTTCGACCAAAGTGTCTTCCGTGGTCAGTGAAATGCATTAGACTGTAAAGGTTTTTCAGAAAGCATGCACACTGTTTGATCGTTAATAACTCTTTTGCTTTCATGTCTTTTTGCGGAGCTTGAGGTACCATTCTGAACTAACAATCGCTTTTTATTAGGGTAGAATTACGGTAGAAACTTTGGAATGGATTTAAAGCCATCAAAAGATTTTTGCCTTACAAGAGAATGGTCAGAAATCGAAATGGTCAAACCATAAAAGCTGCACACCATCAAACGCAGCATAAAACGCTCACTCCAAATCTGTCATCCTTGTCTGCACAGCGCTTTTGTGGACGAAATTATAAGCCGTTGAAGGCCATTATTTTGCTAAGAAATTGTGCGTATAAAGTACAAACTTGGCAGTACAAAGCCATTTTCGGCTTAATGTTGGACCAAAACATGCAGCTAGGTCAGCTCATATGACCCGTACCTAGAGGTGAGCTGAAAGAGCAAAATGTGCCTAATTTCCCAATTTCTGTATACGATTTTTTCGCACTAAAGCTGCTCATAACTTCGCCAAAGGCGCTCTGCAGACATGGAAGACAGATTTAAAATCGGCATTTTATGCTGCATCGAATGGTATGCAGCTTGTATGGATTGGCCACTCTGACTTCTGACCATTTCCTTGTTAGAAAGAAAGCCAAGCAAGCCAGAAACCTTTGAACTGGGCTATTCGGAGTCGCTAATCCTAAGTATGAAATTTGCACTTCAGCGTAATGCTCCTTTCGTAAATTATTTCAGGTTTGAGGTAACAACTGTTATTCCATGCTCGTTAGAAATGTGAACACGTCATTAAGAATGCTTGAAATACTGGCAAAAAGTTATGCAGTGAAATTAGCACGCCTGAAAACCTTGCTACACGAATTTTCAAATTTTTTTTGAAATAATTTCATTGAGAGGCCTATCTCACAGTGATGCTGTATGCTGAAAGAAGAGCGATTGATAACTTGCTCCATACTATAAATCCAAATTGACCTCGCTCTACAGAAAGATACTTCAAGCACGGCAAGAGATATGAAACTAAAAGAATTATTAACGATCAAACAGTGTGCACATTTTTTTGGGACACCCTGTATATGTCCGAGTTTTGTTCAACATATTCTACACACCTCATAAATTGCATTTCCGGGCTTGGTTAGGAGTTTGATTTGGTAGTGAGCGAAAGCAGTCTTCGTGTCACCACTCAAATCCGGGACAAAGCCGTCCTTATCCTTTACGTTTTTGTATTTCAGCAAATCCTCGTTCGATACCAGTCTAAAGTTGAGAATATCAGTCTACTAATGCGGAATTTTCTCATCCAAGACTTCAATTAGACCTAGCGTGCCTGTATGGCGCATTTGGATTAGCTATTATCAGTTGCTCCTATGAAGTAACAGAGGCCTCAATTATCTACAACAACCTCATTGGCACCCACCCAAGGAAGGTTTGAGGGAGCATTGAACCCCTTCAATTTCACCACTTTGATGTGTCCCTCTGTGACCTCTTACACCTCCCTCCCCACCTCCATGGTGGCGTACACACCTTACGCTTCACCCTAATCATGTTTTCAAAATGTAAGAAAAAACTACGATAAAGATTTATGTGTAAGCAATATTATCACTCTTGCTTTGTAAGGAGCTTGAGTTTTCAATGTGAGCAATAACTTTTCAAAAAGAGTTTCTAAATAACGAGTCTACATGCAAGTGAGAAAATACTAGTCTTGATTTATGCCCAGGATATTCCGCTATATATTCTGTAATATCTAGCTGCAAAAACACTTCTTTTTCTGAAAGGAGTTGCTGGAATGTGCTTTACAGACACGTGCCAGGGTGCGACTGAAAATCTTGGATAAGAAAATTCCTTCACTCTACGCGAAAGTGTTAATAAATAGAGTACTTCTTCGCATCAAGAAGCTCTCGTAAGAAAAGCTTGGCACATAGATGGGATACGTCTTTTAGTTGTCTGTTAATGACGTCTACAACAGCAACAGCCAGCTTCCGTGACAATTCTCTGTCTTCGTTAGTGCTCATGGCGCTTTTCCAGTTCAAGCAAGTGCACCAATGCGCATCCACGCCAGCATAGAAACAGGTTATTCAAGCCTTGCATCATGAACTTCGAATTTAGTTACCTGCGCACAAGTGCGAGAATTCGGAATTGGACGGAAGAGCGACAGTGATCGTTTGTTAGGGTCTTGCATAGTGGTCAAATCTTTTGGAAGGTGAAGGAGATCCATAAGGGTCGCGTGAATGTCAAAAGGCGTCGTCAGCCTTGAAAAATGTCTGCAAAGTGTAGCAAAATGCTTATATTTCCCACCTGTCTTTATTCTTTACCAGGTTGTCATACATTATCTTGCCATGATTTGTACTGCGAAATTTGGCTGGCAGGGAGATTGCAAAAAATGGCAGTCGCTGAAACACCATTGCAACGAAGCAGCCTGATGTGAATGTTTCACCTCCTCTAGCTGGCCTTGATGCGTTTCGCGCAATTTTGCAAAACGGTGACCGTGATCTGCCATCACAACGACTAAGGCGTCATCCAGCTCACCTAATTAGAAAAAGGTAAGTAATTGCGGGTTTACATGCTTTGAAACAATTTTGCAGAATGCTGAAAGTAGTTGTCACGTTACCGTACTCGCCACAGTCAAGACACTTTCTGAACAGTTTCTGAAGGGACGTCAGGACCCGGCACAGATGGTCTGGGGTCAAACTGGACTTCGTTTTTGAAGTTAGAAACAAGTGGGATATCGTTTTTACAAGATCCTGGGGGAAGCGCCGATAGAAAAACGGCATGTCAGATTATACGAGTTGAACTTGTTCTTTCGCAAGCCGAATTCCAAACGCAAGATTAAAACAAACAAATGGTTTGTTTACAGCCCACAAACAATCACGTGACACCAATTTTGGCTATGTGTATACAATATTACTCCAAACTATATTAAGCAAAAAGTTTGAAAAACTTATGTGCCCTAATACCCATTCCCGAATTTGTTGGTTTCTAGACCAAAACCAAACCAACTGGGTTGATTCGGAGCATAAATATCGGAGAGTTCACATAAGTTTTGAACCTTTTTGATTTGGAAGATTAGAGCGCTCAAAGGTCTATCATATAGTGAAGAAAGCGAGTTAAACCATTGCCTTCTTTTTTTGAGCCAAAAATTGTCTAGCCTGAGTATTGATAGATATCGCGCCTCAATCACAGCGGCGTCCTTTAAACTACGCGGCGAAAAGTGCATCATCAGATTGAAGACACAGATTTGGTTGGTCTGGAGGTTTTGAACACATTCTGAACGCTAAAATAGTACTAAACTCAATGACAGAGCCTTTAATCAATTCACAATGTTTTTACTTTGCTTTTCTTTGTTATATTAGGTACCTCAAAATGGGCTTTTTTCGCTTTTTGTTGTTATGCGAAATTAATAAATGTTCCCCTACTGATTTTTATCAGAAGGGTCTTCGTAAATTGTCGCGAAGTCATGGAGAACTTCTTTTCCAAAATGCTCTAAACCAACACGCGCCGGGCCCTGAGGGTCGTCGCCAGCAAGAAAGGTTTTTTCTGAGTATAATTGGGTAGACGGAGGCGTTATGGTCATCTCACTTTTAGCTTTACTCTATTCAGAGCCCGGCACGAGTGGGTTTCTAGGGTTTTCTAAAACGAAGTCTCTCTTGATCTTCGGAAGTTTTACGAAGTCTCCTTTGACCTACCGACATAAAAGAAGATGAAAACAAGAAAGCTTTACTATTCCAAAAAACTGAGATAAGAGTGAAGATTCAAAATAAAGCTCTATACTATGCATGCACAAGAGTTTGGCATTGGAGCGCCATATCTAAGAAAGCGAATCATGAAGAAGTTAAGGCAAAAACCAAGGAAATGCAATGATATGAAAATGATTTCATTCTCGGGGATAAAGTTTTGACCGGGGATCCGTCCATGATAGTTTAATTCGAAACTTTTATAAAATTACAAAAATATGTGCTCCAGACGATCTCAGATTGTCTGGTGGCCGTCTGAGAACGGACTAAATTCGGAAAAGGTACTACTTCACATAAGCTTTCAGAACGTTTTACATAATTCTTCCTTGAATAATGTTCTACGCCTGCAGTCAAATTTGGTGTCATATGCTTGTCATGTACACAGTTTTTTTTCGGAGCTCGGCTCCGGACCCCGTAAAAACAATATCGCTTTTGCTATGTGTCCTAAAAACGAAGTCCAGCTTAGTTTGAGACGATATGTGCCGGACCCTGACTCTAATCCATAAAATTCTTTCTTTTTGAACAAATATTCAACATCATATCGCAGCAATCAAGGAAAGGACGGGCTGCAACAGAAACGGTGTTGGCATAGTAGCTAAGCATTGGAATAGGATTACTGGCGCGGATAGTATAAGCGACCGTTTTCTGAGCCTATATCTAGACGTAGAGATAAGCTTTGTGTAACGTAGTATGTAGCTTACAATTAGCTTATAAGTAGTAGCTTGTTAGTAGCTTTGTAGTAACGCCATTTGCACCACAAGTAGGTTGCAAAGGACATTAGAATGAGGGGTTTTGGCAACATTTTGACGACTAAATTCGAGTGAGTATTATGTATGCACGATAACGGGACAGTTAATGACGGGGGAGCATATTCTATGACCGTAATTATAACAAACCCAGTGGGTTAGCTTCCAGCGGCTTAGCCTACTCGGTATACTTGGAATAAATCAAATTTCAACTGTTCAGATACCGAATAGTATTCGAAGAACGAAATGTTCGAGTCGATCGAAAAATACTGTTGGAAAGATCTTTCAAACTATGTACTTTTCACTGATATCAGACTTTTGAATATTGGACTTCCGAATATCATGAGCATGATTTGAATGTCTTTGTGAAAGTCCGAACAAGACGAGCAGTTTGATACTACATAGAATACATGTACAAGAATAGACCTTTGTAGCCTTTATGCAATACGTTTTGCAGAAATCTCTGCTACAACGAGTTTATCATTAAAAGCATAGGAGTTTTTACAGATAGTTTTAACCGTTGGAAACATAAGATTTCGTTTTCGGTAATGAGTTTTCCTAAGACTTCGGAAAGTTTCTCTGAGTCATAGCAATATGCTTTCTTGAGGACCTCCACGACGTAAATTCGCGCTGGATCTATTATTATTCAAGACTATGGATCATCGGTCCAAAGTGTGGCAATAATATCGAGGAAACCGACAGCGCCACCGCTGCAATCATGTTATGCTGATTTGAAAATGATGAGATTTCGATCATAAATAAAATTCGAAAGTCAAGTATCCGAAAACTCTCATTTTCGAATATCATTCGAACGTCGAAGATCTGATGGCCATTAGAACGGTCACTAAGTTGAAAATTCAATTCTTCGACTTTGTATAATATTCGAATGATTTCGTATAAACATTTTGAATACTATTCAACATTTCATCTTTCAAATTGTTAGGTTGGTGCAAAAATAACGTCCGTTTTGAAAGTTTCACTTTGAAAAGTAACTTTGTACAGTCCTTATATTTTGAATATAGTCAAGACCATTAGAAGCAGCAAGCCTTTCGTAACTTAGCGCACCTGCTCATACTGATAGTGTAAACGGGAGAAAACCATGCATCAAAAACGGAAAGGTTCTCTTTCGAAGACCTCTTTTTTGAAAACTTACGACTTCTTTCAAGTTCTGTTCTTAAAGCTGAAAATCAGCTCATTTTGTAGCCACAAGCCAGTAGTATTTGCATAGAGCATAGAGCACTCGAAAACGATGGCGCGACCACGCGCGACACGTACGCATACCCGGCAACCGCTGTTTTCTTGGTTTTCATCTCTAGCAAATGATTTCTTTTTGCTTATGTATGATAGCATTCAGACACTGGAAATGACTGAGTAAACGTTGAGGTGATGCCTTTTTGCATAAGCGTTTTACGCTCCTATGGACGCAAATTCCGCAGTCAAATTCATTGTCACGATTATATAAATGAACTATATGTACAAAACACCTCAACGAAGGAGTTGTGCAAAAAGAAAAGATAATATTCCAAAATTGTCCACCTTTTTGAGCCTGTTTGTGGTAGGCTTGAAAGTCTCAAATTATACAATTTTGGAATTCTTCATGTACTGTATAGCTGAATTTCTCAGCGAAAATTGCAGGCAAGATGTTCTAATCTTAAGCTTACAGAAGTGAGCGAAGATTTGGCCATTGCCTCAACATGGGAACTTTTTGACCCGTAGAATATCAGCAGCAATTTTTTATTTTGGGGGCGCGATTTCTCAGTCCAGCTGTGCAAGATGCTGGTGAAATTCTCACAGATGAAGTAGAAGCTTAATTTAACACTGTTGAAACGTACATGAAGAAAGCATTCCAATGATACGCAGAATCTCTACCGAGAAAGAAATTTTGAAGGAAAAAAGTTGTTCGGAAAGTAGGCCCAGAAACGGACATTATTTCATGCACCAACCTAAATTTTCAAATCATTCTTATTTGAATAATTTATTTTAATGGTCCAATATTCGTTTGATACTACCTAGGGTAGAGACGTCAGCAAGGTGTTCATTGCTTTCCTCAAAGCACACTCCGACTTACTTACAATAAGCGCTCAATATATTAGGTTGTCCCATAAGTCGTTTATGCTTTTGCACCAGCTTTTATCCATCTCAAGTCTTTAAAACTTGAGATGGATAAAATCTAAAAAGTTCCGGATGCCCAGAAAATTGAAAATTTATTTATATCTTCTCTCAGAAAAGTCCTACAGATCTCTCACTTGCTCACGCATATACAGTGCGTTTCATAACTATACGACACCCCCCGAAATTTGGGATTTCCGGATTGAGAAATCGAGTACTACAAACAGTGCCTGTGTGATCTACATATGATGTTGAATAAAATGACATCTCAATCAATATGTCTACTCGGTTGCTTTTCCACATGTCTATTCTTTCACAGTTTCGTAACTATACGACACCCTTGATCGAGATACTTTTTTCCAAGAAAAAAAAAACGCAAAACGGGATTCTTATGACTAATCGTGCTACCAGCCCTTCTCACTTCATCAAGTCTATTGGAAATGCTTCTAACAAATTTATGCATGTCTTTGATGAT